GAGGCTTTGACTGGGGTATGAGGAGGAGTAAGAACCCCTCTCCCTCATCTGATTTCCAGAATGTTCTAATGACTGAGCACCTAACACAGGGGAAGAGAAAAAAAATCCTGAGCGCTTCTTAGGTGCCAAATGCTACTCACACCAGCCCCATTAGGAAGATGCCAAGATCTGAATTTCACAGGTGGGGGAACTGAAGCCGCTCTGCTGGTGGGAGCCAGACATTTCCCTGAGTCTGTCCGAGGTTCCACGGGTCTGGTCTTGACGCCTGAAGGTGAGGCTTTGTCTTGCCCCCCCCCAGATCCCAGAGGCTGTCCTGAACCAGCACAGGTGGTGGGCCTTCCAGGAAGGGCTTCTGCAGACGTGCAGAGGGTCACCAAGGCGAGCAGGACGGTGCCGGAGGGGAGGAGCTGGGGATGAGACTCCTTTGTGGAGTGATGCTTCTCCAGTCAGCGTGCGTGAGCTGGCGTCCTAACCGCACTTACTGTCTAGCTAGGAAAGAAGCGCAGGATGGCTGAACCTGAGGTTTGCGAAAGGGTGCACAGGACCTAGAGCCCATCTCGTGGGCTCTGGGGTGACACCAGGCCTGGCACAGTGTTGAGCAGTGGCTCCAGCCCACTGAGACAGAGGGAGAGAGAGATTGCCTTGCCTCAGCCACCACTCAGGCCGCAGCCAGCTGCGGATCTGAGCTCGGTCTGTTGGAGAGGAGCTAGTTCAGGGTTGTTCATCCTGTCTTAGGCGGCCGATGTTAGTCCCGCCGCCCCGTCTGCAAGCAAGCCCCTCCCTGCATCAGGGTGCTTCCTCTTCTTCTCACTGTTGATAGGATGACTGTAGGTGGGACGCTGACCACACTATCACGAATCACTTTAATGTCCCTAAGAGTATGTGGGCCTGAAAAGATGACAGAACGCAAGACTTTGTCAAGTTCAGATATCTTAAAGTGGGGTCAACCAAGGTCATCTGATTTCTGGCAATGACAGGTTAGGTATTTGGGGCCATCTGTCCTCAGAAAGACAAATAGAAGTGAAAGTGCTAGTCCCCCAGTCATGTCCGATGCGTTGTGACCCCGTGGACTGTAGCCTGGCAGGCTCCTTTGTCCATGGAATTCTCCAGGTAGGAATGGGTAACCTGGAGTGGAGTGGAGTTGGTAGCCATTCCCTTCTCCAGGGGATCTTCCCAACCCATGGATCGGACCCTTGTCTCCTGTGGCTCCTGCATTGGCGAGCAGATTCTTTACGACTGAGCCGCCTGGGACTTGAAACTCTAGTGGGGTCTTCCTATATCACTGTTGCCTGCTTGCTCCAAGCTGAAACAAACACAGATCTTCTCAGAAGAATAGTATCACCCCAAGACTTAAATGATTTCTGCAAATATACGTACCTTTCAAATTAAATCTTAGAATGCAATAAAAGATAACCAGGCTCATGAGGACAAAAGACAACATGTACAAGAACAAACAGAAGCAACACAGTGTAGAAACAGATCTGCAGAAGCTACAGTTACTGAAATGACATAACAGTGAATGGTGAAAATGGAAAGGCATCCCCGGAGATTGAAAACAAACAAGGTTGCTCATACATTGCCACTTCTGGTCAGCGTAGTGTCACTATCAGAGTAGTAAGGCAGAAAAAAATAAATCAGATGTATACGAGTTGGAACGGCAAGTACAAGGCTGCTATTACTTTTGTAGAAAACTCAGGGGGATCTAAAATTTTTAGAATGAATGAGCTTAGCAAAAATCAATTATGTTCCTAAAAGTTAAACAGTGAATTACAAAAAGAAATTTTAAACATATGCAATAGCGACACCAAACTCAAATAACTGAATAATTCCGGCAAAATATACACTAGTCCTCCGTGTAGAAACATCAGATGGGAACGAGAGATGCTTAGAGAACAACTGGAAGAATATTCTCTGCTCATGGATTCAAATGCTCAGCGTTATAAAAATATGTTTCTCTCTAGTTGATCCATAGATTCACTGCATTATCAGTTAAATGCCCCTCTTATTGGGAAACTTGACAAGATGAATTTGAAATTTGTCTAAAAGGTTAAAGGCCAATAATTAGGATATCTTGAGCTGGAGCAAAGAAGAATGACTTGCTCTAGTTGATGTCAGTATTTGTCATGAAGGTAAAGTCACTGAGGTGGTGTGGCACCAGCTCGGATCCAGACCGAACCATCAGAACCGAATAAAGGATCTGGAAACAGATTCAGGCACGTGAGAGTGGCGGCTCCGCGGAGCCGGCGGGGAAGGGCGAGCTGCAAAACTGAAGAACGGTTGATTTACAATGCTGTGTTAATTTCTGCCGTGCTGCAGAGTGATTTGGTTTTATACACACACACACATATTCTTTTTAATATTCTTTCCATTATGGCTTATCACAGGGTATTGGATATAGTTCTCTGCACTATACAGTGGGGACTTGCTGTTTATCCATCCTACATCTAATCGCTTGGGCTTCCCAGGTGGTAAAGAACCCGCCCGCCAATGCAGGAAGTGTAAGAGACGCAGGTTTGCTCCGTGGATGGGGAAGATCCCCTGAGGAGGGCAGAGCAACCCACTCCAGTGTTCTTACTTGGAGAAGCTCATAGACAGAGGAGCCTGTTGGGGTACAGTCCATAGGGTCACAGAGGGTCAGACACGACTGAAGTGACTTAGCACACACACATGCATCTACTAGCTTACATCTGCTAACCCAGCCTCCCACTCCGTCCCTCCCCCAGCCCTCTTCTCCTTGAATAAACTTCCAATAAGCTACTGGGTATTCACATGGGAAAACCAGAAATGAAACTTGACCCTTTCCATATAGCAGAAAAAGAGCCGTGTTGGCAGAATCATAGACCCAAATGTGAAAGATGAAACAGTAGTCTTGGGCCACATCTTAAGACGTCAGATACCTTTGTTGATTTCTCTTGCAGGAATGAAAAGAACTAAGTGCTGGACAAGTCTGAAAACTGACATCGAAATTAAGAATACTGGGTTTTCAAACGACATCCCTGAGAGAGACAAAAGCTGCCAGGGGGTGGAGAGCAGGCCGCACGCAGGAGTGACAAACCGCTGTGTCCAGAATAAATAAGGAATTGCTGTAAATCGATGCTCCTGTGCAAAATGGGAAGGTGACTTACACAGATACTCCTCAAAAGAAACATTTCAATGGTCGATAGAAACAAGATGAGACCCTCAACTTGATTAGTGATCAGAGACATGCACGCCTGCGCCTGCTCGATGACCCACAAGCTGGAGCTCAGCCCTGACCCCCCGCAGGCAGAGGACACGGATAGAACAACGTCCCGTCCCAAACCACAGCAACCAAGTGTCCATCCAGAGCAGGACAGATCCCTGGCCCAAGGCGTGTTCAAATCGGAGAGACCTGCAGAGCGTCACACAGACGATTCCTGCTCCCTACAAACCGTTGCGGAAATTCACAAACACAGCATCGCAGGGAAAGTGGCATCAGGAAGGAGACTTTGTTTGGTCGCATTTGTACGTAAAATTCAAAAGTGGGCCACTCCCCAGAGCCGCGTTGGGATGAGGTGCGCGAGTGGGCTGTGGAGAGGAGGGCCAGGTGCCCCCAGCCAGGAGGGCAGCCCCCTCAGGAGGGGTCCTCGGAGCTGGAAAGGGACTCGAGGGCTGGCCCTGTTCTCCGGCTTCTTCTGACGCACTTTGCTTCACGCACTCTGGTGAGGAAGTGTTATTTTCCACTTCAAAAAGGAAGTTTAAATACAATGAAATGGAGCATGCAGTGGCCACAGGCAATCTGTATCACTTCCTACCGCACTGCGCAGTGTGGCGGTCCCCAGCAAGCACCGAGATTCACAGGGGCCCCGTGTCCTGCCCGGCTCCTGGGAGGCTGGCTGTCAGCACACAGGTGCTGTTCCACTGCCTCTGAGGGGAGCTGGTCCCGGGCCGGGGCTCCCGCACAGCTCCTTCCACCCCGGTACCAGGGCCTTTGCACGTGACTCTGTGGATTCAGGAGAGATGTGAGCCCACCCAGTGATGCTCGAACTCCAAATCGCCTCATCCAGGTCCTGGCTCAGGGTGAGGACCACAGCATCTGCCAGAGCTTCAGCCTCCAGAGCAGGAAGGGCGGGTCCGATTGACTGAGGTTTTGAAGTCTGGATTAGGGTGGGTCTTCCAATGGGGCCTAGGGTGGGAGCACCAGGTCATTGTTTAAGACTGGTAGACACAGCAAAGTGAGGTTTTTTAATCCACACAGTTCCACTCAAACTATTGATTTCTGTTGATGAGTTGATGGGTCTTTGGAGAAAATGCTTCAGTGAGTAACATGGCATTTGCAGCCTTCAACTTTCTTAGGGGAGTCTGTAGACAGCATATTAAAAAGCAGAGACATTACTTTGCCAACAAAGGCCTGTATAGTCAAAGCTATGGTTTTTCCAGTAGTCATGTACGGATGTGAGAGTTGAACCATAAAGAAAGCTGAGCACCAAAGAATTGATGCTTTTGAGGTGCTGGAGAAGACTCTTGAGAGTCCTTTGGACTGCAAGGAGATCAAACCAGTCAATCCTAAAGGAAATCAACCCAGAATATTCATTGGAAGGACTGATGCTGAAGCTGAAACTCCAGCACTTTGGCCACCTGATGCAAAGAACTGACTCGTTAGAAAACACCCTGATCCTGGAAAGACTGAGGGCAGGAGGAGAAGGGATGACAGAGGATGAGATGGTTGGATGGCATCCTCGACTCAGTGGATGAGCAAACTCCAGGAGATAGTGGAGGACAGGGAGCAGATAGTATAGTCCATGGGGTTGCAAAGAATCAGACATGACTGAGCGTCGGAACGGCAACCCCAGGAACATCAGGGTCCCTGGGAGCACAGGTGTAAACCCTGCCCCACCCACAGAGGCCCCCAGTCCCGGCCTCCTCTCTCCCAGGAGTAGGGAGTGTCTCCCAGGGTAGGACTTGCCCTGTCCCTCTGCTGGTTCCCTTCCTTCCTGCTCCTGCAAGGACTCGTGTTTGGAGGGCCTCAGGAAAGGGGCTGCATGCTGGCTGCACCTGGCGGGGCCCCCCGATATCCCCCGGAGGCACCTTCATTTGGCCGTGAAGACCGTCGACATCTGCAGCCCCTCAGCGGGGGAGAGGCTGCCTGCCGAGTCCAGTCCAGCCTGGAGCCCAGGGAAGGACCCTCGCCAGCTGTCTGTGACTTTCTATCTGGGGAGAAGGAGCACGCGGGGCTTGCCTTGAAGGATGCCCCAGGCCACACCCACGGGCCGGGGTTCCGGCCCAGGCAGTGTGACCTCGAGCCCGTCGCTTGACCTCTCTGAGTCTTCTTTGTCATCAGACTTGGGATAACAGAATGGATTTGAGGATCCCGTGGAGTGAGGATGATAAGTTGGAACCACAGGGTCAGTGACCATGGGGAGGTCAGTGCCTACCCTTTCCCTGGCCCTGACTTCCTCCCGGCAGCCTCTCTGCCGGCTTCCCGGGAGGCCCTCCAGGTCTGGCCACCTGTCCCCCAAGCACCCTCCCAGCCACCCCAGCCTGTGCCAAGCCTCTGTTTCCAGTGGGCATTTCACAGCCTGGGAGAGGAGCCCTCTGGCTGGTGGTGTTGTAACCTCCTCCCTGCCTCCGGCCCCTCCCTGCCCCTGCCTCTCAGCGGCCGGGCCAGGTCCGGGCTGCCCCATAGAGCGTGCTGGGAGCCGTGTCCTGGGGACCCCCTCCGCTGTGCACACCGACCAGATGTGGCACGAGAAGGCAGCCCCCTCGGGGGGCAGAGCTCCACAGGTGTGCGGCCCCCACTAGTCCAAGAGTGCCTGCAGTCCCCGAAGCTTCTGTGCCTGCATGCTCAGTTGCTCAGTCGTGTCTGGCTCGTTATGACCCCGTGGACTGTAGCCCGCCAGGCTCCTCCGTCCATGGGATGCTCCAGGCCAGAATACTGGAGCAGGTTGCCGTGCCCTCCTCCAAGGGATCTTCCCCACCCAGGGATCGAACCTGCATCTTTTGTGGCTCCTGCATTGCAGGAGGATTCTTTTACCACTGAGACACCGGGGAAGCCCGTGACAGCTTCTAGGGGGTCCACAAAAATGCTCTTGATGTATCAGAGGGAAAAAGTAGATAAAATATGGCCAAGGTTATATTCAACTCTGAACCTCCGTCTTTGTGAAATACAACTTCTAATGATTTTCTGTGGAGGAAGGGGCCCAGTAAGGCGAAAGTGCCTGGGGTCCCCAAAGGGGAGACCCTCCCAGGGCCCCTCCTGGCACATCCTTGAAAAGCTGGGGTAGGGGGCGGGGGTTGGCTCTGTGCCAGGCCGTCGACTGTCAGAAGGAAGCTTTCTCTTCCCCACCCCTCCCTGGCCTGAAACGTCCCTTCTCCTGCCATTAACAACTCCCCCACGGCAGGCTTGCTCAGCCCTGGCACTAGTGACTTTTTGGCCCAGACCACTCTCGCCAAGGGAACCATCCAGTGCCTGCTAGATGCCAGTCACACCCCCGGCCCAAGTCATGACAACCGGAAATGTCAGCAGACGTTTCTGCCGAACGTCCCCTGCGGGTCGGGAGAGAGAGTCACCCTGGGCCCTGTCGTTTTGGAATTCCTACCTCTTCACTGCCACAAACCTAACGATGACCTGATTTCTAGGCCAGCCCCCAGCGTCGGACCTGTCCCAGGCCCCCTCCCTCAGCTCCTCTTCCTCAGCTATCAGCAGGGACATCTTCTGACTTGAATGATGTTCCCGGAAAGTATTCGTGCGTTCCTGTTTCTTCATGTAGGTAAATGGCGCTTGTTGGAGCTCATTCTGAATTCTGCTTTCTCCACTCAGCTGTGTGGGCCTCGCGTGTGTGCGCGTGTGTGCGGGCCAGTGACTTTCAGGGTCATGTGTCTTGGTGCATTTCTCTACATCCAGCCCGCTGCTTTCAACTGCCAAGTCTGCGTCACTTTGGACCTGTCTGCGTTTCCTAGGCGGTCTCCCGGATGACCTCAAAGCCCACCCTCCTAGGCCACCGATGTCGCCTGTGGTCCCCCAGGCCTCTGTGTTCACACCAAGTGGGTTTCCAGGGCCTGCGGCCTGCGGAGCCTGAATTCGGCTACCTGAAGGGACTGTTCTTCAGAACAGACGTGTCCGCGTGGGGTCCCCCTCCTCTGCGCTCCTCAGCTCTGATGGCCTGGTCCTCAACAGCTGTAGCTCCAAGGTTTCCTCTTGCATAACCCGCTCTTCCGTCGCCCTGAGGTCGCTGCCTTCTCGTAATGCTTTCTAGACGTGAGTCACGTGTTGGTTTCAGACGGTGCAGGCATCTGCTCCCTTCCCACTGGCTCCCCGTTAGCTTTGCCCTTGGAGTCTTTTGCACTTACCATTTTTGCTTTTAAAGTTTTATTTGTGAGTCTGTCCCTCCCCCGAAGTCCCAAAGATAATCTCCTGCATTTCATTTTCTAACTTTATGCTTCTATTTCTCCCATCTGGCTCTTCACTCCCTGTGGCCCTCCTAGTTTCTAGGTAACCCCCCACACACACACACACGCACGGGGATTCATTATTACGCTCCATCTCATGGGCAGGTCTCTGGAACTGTCTGGAACTCTGTCCTTTCCCACTGGGTTTGTGGGGCCACCTTGTGATGAATGAAGATCCCACAGGTGGTCGGTGGGCTCTGCCCCTGAACTTCGGAATCCAGTCCACCACTGAGCATCAAGACCGCGTGGGATTCATGTCTTTGCTTTTGCAGGATGCCTTATATCTCACAGGACAGCCCACACTCTACCTTCTTTTATAAAGCTGGTGAAGCTTTTTGTGGACCTTAACACATCCACATAAATCTTAGATCATGTCTGAGTTCTGCAAGAAATTTTTTGATTGGGATCGCATTGGATTTATGGGTTAATTTGAAGACAGCTGGCATCTTTATAACATTAGATCTTCCCATAGAGGGCCCAGAGTCTTTCTATATATTCAGGCCACATCAGAGTTTCACATTCGGATTAGGTTAATTCCTAGATTCCTTATGGTTTCTGTTCCTATCCTATGGATGACACCTTTGGAAAAAATCATATTTTCTAATTGATCATTACTGGTGAAAATAGATGTTATTTGTGTGAGTTCAATATGTCCGTTCAATATGTGCGATAGACATACCCGATACACCTGCTAAATGTATTGGCTTTTTTCTAGAGAGATGATTTGTGAGGAAAAACTATGATGATTCACTAAAAATGGAGCTGAGAAAAACCAGTTCCCTTTTTTCTAGAATGAGAACTCATTCTCTCTCTGTCTCTCTCTCTCACATGCACACACACACACACACACACACACACACACACTTCCATACACACGAGCGTGCATGCACACACAGCTGCTCATATATACCCATGTACACACCCACACTTGTGTACCCACACACACATCACACAGATATATGCCCATGCACACACATGCACTACACACTCACTTATACCCATGCACACACATGTATGCACACGCACATATATGCCAATGCACACACATCACACATATGTGTACCCATTTCACACACACGCACACAGACACATGCATGCTTGCAAAAAGAGCCAATCTGTCTTCTCAGCGGCAGAGCCCTGTGGGCCCTGCTGGGCACCAGGGCACATGCTCTGTCAGCCCCACGTGCCAGGACGCAGGTGGGGGCTCCTGGCCTACGGGAGCTGGGCTCTGGCTGGGGAAACACAGCACGTCTCAAAGACTCAGGGCAGTGGAGGGGTGAACTCTGCCTTGCTGTCATCCAGCCCCAGTGCCCATCACCCCCCTTCTCTTCCTGGGGCAGCAAGGGTGGAGACTGACCCCGTATGAAAGGTAAGACCCCAACGCAAACAAATCCAGAAGATGGCTGGTTGCCTTCTGCTAGATGAGCCCGCCCGCTCCAGTCCTCCCACGGCGTGCCCAAGGCAGCCAGGTCTGGGAAAGGACGGGAGGAAGCAGTTCCCTCCACGGCTTCAGGCTGGTCTGTAGCCTCAGGGGCACGCCGTTCTCTCGGAGCCTCAGTTTCCCCATTTTCCAGGGGACGTTTGGCCCGGACATGCTTTCTGACCCTTCTCTGCTGAAGCCGGAACCCGCCCCCTTACCCCCACCTCCGCCCAGCTGCAGCCTGAGGCCAGGGTCCCTGGACCCTGGCAGAAGCTGGCTGGCTCCCCACTGTACTTTCACGGCTTGAACCTCAGGGAGCAGACAAGTGTCCCGCAGCTCTTGTAGCTGGACTCTGCTCGGGGCGGTGCGGGGGCGGTGAAGGAGCCTAAATTCTGCAGGAACTGGAACCAGCCCGCAAGGGTGCGCCTCCACGGGGGTGTAAAGCGACTTGGAACAAGATTGCCAAGGAGTCCAGTACAGAAAGCGGGACGCCCGCTGGGAAAGCGCCCGGGACGCGGGGCCGCCTCACCACTCGCCATTCCACTCCCCATGTGTCCCCAGGGGAAGTGACGACGGACATCCGCACGAGGACATGGCCCTCCTGCCCACAGCAGCCCTGCTCACAGTGGCCAGAAGGTGGACGCAGCCCAAACGCCCACTGGCTGGTGCACAAGTAAGTAACCTGTGGTCTAGGAACCTGGTGGGCTGCAGGTCATGGGCCACACAGAGCCGAACACGACTGAAGCAGCTGAGCGCGCACGTGCCCACGGCTGCCACCAGAGCAAGAACACTGCCGAGGCGCTGACGGAGCCCTCAGACCACGCTGATGGGGACGCCGGTCAGGAAACCACGTGCTGCCCGACTGCACCGATACGAAATGGCCAGAAGAGGTGAGTCCGTGCAGACAGCCAGGGGAGGGGTGCAGGGGGTGAAAGCAAAGGGATACAGGCTTTCTTTGGAGATCATAAAAAAGTTCTAGAATGTTCTCAAATATAGAATATTCACCGCCCTCTAAAACCGGAATGTGCTGGAGGTTCACAGCTCTGCAGATACACAGAAAGCATTGAATGTGCGGTTAAAAAGGGTGCGTTTATGCAATGTGACTTAGCTCTCAATAAAGCTGTTAAAGAAAGAAAGCTCTGCAGGGAAGGTGGGGGTGGACCAGGGATGCTGGCACATGGTTCCTTAGAGTGGGGGGCCGGCCCTGCAGACCGAGATGGGGCCTCCTAGATGGGGGGAGCCGACTCTGGAGACCCCTCCCCACAGAGGGACCCTTCTGCCCAGTGGACCATCAGGGGAGAGACCCTGGCCTTCTGCTCCACACAGGGGCCTCTTCTTCCAACCACCCCCCACCAGGCTTTCTACACGGCTCCTCCTCCTGTGACCCAGGAGCTCCGCCACCCACTCCCAGGCCCAGAGGTTGGGGCAGGGGGGGCAGGACGCCCT